TAATATATAACAGGGATACTGTATACATAATTCAGTACAGTGAGAGAAAAACCCTCTCAAATATAACTAGAATCACCCTGAAACCTCTTTTCACAGTATGGAAAATTCTAAGTCACATCCTTATCTATGTAGTTGTTACACTAATGAAGCTGAACACAACAATTATGAATTATGCTTCATATTAATACTATTTGTATCTGTATCAAATTTTCCGTCTCTTTCCTAGGTTTAAAGGGCTGGGGGGGGGGGAAGGAAAAGAAATGTTATCTATCTATCTATCTATCTATCTCTCTATCTCTCTCTATCTATCTATCTATCTATCTATCTATCTATCTATCTATCTATCATCTCTATCTATCTCTCTATCTCTCTATCTCTCTATCATCTATATCTATTTATCTATCTATCTATCCATCTCTTAATTTTGCATTCCATTTATTTTTTCAGGAGTTCAATGGCATATCATGACGATATGCCTTTATTTTACCCCAAACAAAATTGCCTGATAGGTTTAGGTGAGATTAAAAGTCTCCCAATGAATTTCTCTGGCTAAACGTTAATCTCAAGTTATGTATTCCCTAGATTTCATCCAACACCTTAACCATCACACAAAAGTTTCTTTCAGAGTTATAAAATGTATTCTCGCTCTAGTCCAGTCCAACTCTGGCAATTTTAAGATGTGTGGACTTCAACTTCGCAGCCAGCATCTCAGAGTATCAAAGATTGATAAACACTGCTTTAATCAGTATTAATTTTCTGAGATAAAGCGATACATTAATAACACACTGCTGTTATGTTTTCTTTTCTAAGATACTTACTGATTTTACAATAACAATGAAGTAAGAATTCAGGCTGTCCATTACAACAGTTGTTCCTGCCCTACGTATACAGAGGAAAAACAGATTATCATGCCATGATCTGAAAGGTTTTAAAATATGCTAAAAAAAACAGTGTTGAATTTCAATTGCTGTTTCATTTAGAATACTGATGTTTCTGTTTTAACGCTGTCTGCTATTCACTGTCTTTTCCTCAGAAGTCTTAATTATAAACCACGTTGAGATCTTTCCATAAAGAAGGATATGATATACATTCCTCAAATAAAATAACAACAATATTTTGCTTAAAATTGGCAGGTATTTCGATCATTCTAGAGGTTTTGCTATTTGTACCAGCTAAAAAAAGCTAATACATCCAAGAAAAGAAAAGATACAAAATTGGTTTGTTTCTTCAATGTCCTGAATTGTATGGACATTTTTTTTTAATCTGGACTTTTTCAAATTCATTTTTCCCCCTAGAGTTTTTACTCTTAATGAAATGGAGGTAACAATGGCAGCCTCTCCCCACCCCAACCCCATAACCTACTGCATACATTTAACCTCCAAATGGAGAGGTAATGAGAGGGTTAGAATTAGGGGGTTCCACTTTCCCTTACACTGGGAATATTTTCAGAGGATTTCCAATAACTAAACTGGACATGACCAGGCTGATCCGGAAGGAGGCATCAAACGAGTCATCAGTCTGGAGTTGTTACGCATGAAATAAACTTGCAGTGCTTTTAATCTCCATCCTGTTTTCCAATTTCTTGCACCTGACTAGAGTTTAAACATATGCAAAAATAAATACAAGTAAAAGCCATTGAATTTAATACAGGTAGTCCTCAACTTAAAACAGTTCATTTAGTGACCATTCGAAGGTACGACAGCACTGAAAAAAGGGACTTATGACCGTTTTCATACTTATGATTGTTGGAGCATCCCCATAGTCACGTGATCAAAACCTGGATACTTGGCAACCGGTTCATATTTATGACGGCTGCAGTGTCTTGGAGTCATGTGATCACATTTTGCGACCTTCTAACAAGCAAAGTCAATGGGAAACCCAGATTCACTTAACAACCGTGTTACTAATTTAACAACTGCAGCGATTCACTTAACAACTGTCGTAAAATGGGGCAAAATTCACTTCACAAATGTCTCGCTTAGCAACAGAAATTTTGGGCTCAATTGTGGTCGTAAGTCGAAGACTACCTGTATATAAATTTGTGCTTGAGTTCAGNACAAGCAAAGTCAATGGGAAACCCAGATTCACTTAACAACCGTGTTACTAATTTAACAACTGCAGCGATTCACTTAACAACTGTCGTAAAATGGGGCAAAATTCACTTCACAAATGTCTCGCTTAGCAACAGAAATTTTGGGCTCAATTGTGGTCGTAAGTCGAAGACTACCTGTATATAAATTTGTGCTTGAGTTCAGCAGAAATACCTGTTGAACTTGGCAATTCATCTTTTCTCTCTCAATCTCCCTTATCTCCTTGCCTCACCTTTATCCAATTTTTGTTTTCTGAATTTCCCTTTTCTACAGTGTAACTATTGTCCCCCCTCACCCTGCTTTTGGAATATGACTTCTGGCATGCATGTTGTTTAGCTAGAATTGACAAGATAAGGAAGCTTCCCACTGGAAATTTTTCAGAGTTTGTAAAGTTTTTTTTCCTGTTTAATCTTCTCCTTTTTCAGAGGATCATCTTCTTCTAAGGAAAATACAGTAACATGCCTAATACATGTTTGTACCTGTAGAAAATCTCCCATTTGTTACTAATTGTTCTGGCAAGATACGTGTTATTAATAACAACCTGTATGATTTCTGTAGAGAACAATGAGTGATAAAATCTATTTTTTCTGATGGCCAAGTAGAGAACAGTGGAAGTTTCCTGCAGAAAAACAAGGCAAATATATATTAGAATTGCTAATGAAATATTTGTTCCAAAACTGAATTATGTAAAACAAACCTACATTTGATAGAAGGAAGCTTTGATGACTCTCTAATTATTCAAATCCTAGTTCTTGGTGAGATCACTCACTCCTCTGAGAGTGTTTTGCTTGAGGATACTTTTTGATCTAATCCGAATTTTTAGCTGGGCTGTGCCTACAGTGCTTTAATCAGTCTAGGTTGTCCCATTGCATCTTAGCTATTATCAATGGATTGCACGACTCAATGTAATTAATTTTAAGATAACAAAATACTACTATACATTGACATCTGCTGGTTAAGAATGTACGTTGGTATGGTTACAAATGCAGAATTATAGAGGGATGAAAGACAAGTATCACAAATTATTTTGTTACCCATTTTTCCAATATTTGTTAGTATTTCAGAACTACGTAAGTGTCTCTACACACTAAGCCTTCATAGAACTAGAAATCAAGACAGTTATACTGTATATTATCTCCAATAAACACACATGGCAAACCGCTAAATACTTGTCTTCTGCCATATGTGATTGCAGTTCTTTTGTTTTGTCCAACATAGTCCATAAGTTCTCATGCTTAAATCCACAGCAACATGTGCATTTTATCACCTAATTTATGCAAAATGTGCCTATCGCAAGTGGGAAAAACAGTCTACTCCCAGTTACCAACAAGGCTGCCACTGTTATAAGGGACATAATTTAAGTTATGGTCCCTATTTGTAGAAGGTGTATATTGGCTGCAGTGTGTTTGGGCGCAGGATTTTCTATGCACTGTCACATCAACATGAATAATACATGGGCAAATTGTGCGATAACCTTCCCCCACTGTGGAAAATCTGAGCAGGCATAAAGTTGAACTGGCAATATGGAGGTGGGCAGTATCCAGAATCGTTAATCTGTCCCGAATCATTAATCTTTCCTCAACTGAAATTGTTCTCCAATTGAACTTAATATTTTGTAGAATTCTTTGTTGTGGGGGTCAACCCTGCACTATGAATATTCTCCTCTTTACTAGCTGTTAGAAAGTATTTTGTTTGTCTTAATGTTCAATCAGAATTTGTTTTTTTAGTAACTCTAGATCATACAAGTAGTTCTTACCATTAGTTTAATCACCCTTTGGAGTTACAATGGCATTGCAAAAGTGACTTATGACCGTTCTTCACATTTATGACCATTGTGGCATCATCTGCGATCACATGATCAAAATCAGATGCTTGGCAACTGGCATGCATTTATGACGGTTGCAATGTTCCCAGGTCATGTGATCACCTTTTGCAACCTTCTGACAAGCAAAGTCAGTGGGGAAGCCAGATTCACTTAACAACCGTCCGTGTTTAACAATTGCAGTGATTCACTTAACAACTGTGGCAAGAAAGGTTGCAAAATGATGCAAAACTCACTTAACAACTGTCTTGTTTAGCAACAGAAATTTTGGGCTCAATTGTGGCTGTATGTTGAGGATTATTTATATACATGTTATCTTTCCTTTTCATCTAGTCTTTGGGCCTTCTAACTAAAAATAATTTTATTAACTGGTATCTAGTGCCCTCTGTTGGACAACTATATAATGAAAAGAACAATTAAAGTCCGCATAGAAAAAAATGAACATTAAATTCCTGAAAGTTTTCTGTCTTTAAGAACCTGTAAGGCTTTGGATAGGACAGGGGTAGGCAACCTTGGCTCTTTTATACTCGTGGACTTCAACTCCCAGAATTCCTGAGCCAGCCATGCTGAGGGGAAAGGGAGAGGTTTCCAAGCTGAGCCATGGTGGCTCAGGAATTCTGGGAGTTGAAGTCCACGAGTCATAAAAGAGCCAAGGTTGCCTAGCCCTGGGATAGGACAATAAAACTGAATCTCAGCAAGAGAGAGTATATCCAAAAACTGGTTGATTTTCAGGTTGCCCCCAAGTTAATTCTTACATGTAATTAAACTGCCACAAAAGGAAAAGGTTTCCAATTCGTCAATCATTTTGATCTTGTAGAACAGTGATGGCGAACCTTTTAGAGACCGAGTGCCCAAACTGCATCCCAAAACCCACTTATGCATCATCAGGTGCCGGGTGGGTGTGGCCATTGGCTAGGTGTGGCCAATTGGGTGGGCGTGGCTGCGGTGGTAACGGCAGACTGGGTGGGACTAAAAAGTTCAATCAATCAATTCCAACTTTGCAAGATCTTTTTTTTTCCCGCAAGAAGTTGAAATTGACTGATTGATTGAACCTTTTTTTTTTTTTTGCATATGGTGGCAGAGGCCTAAAGTGAAAAGGTTTTATAAAACCCAGCCAAGGGCCTAGGACTGGGGCGACGGTGCACGTGCCCACAGAGAGGGCTCTGAGTGCCGCATCTGGCACCCGTGCCATAGGTTCGCCACCACTGTTGTAGAACTTCTGAAAAGGTGGAGGTCAGGGCTAGCGAAGGCTTGATCCAGTTTTGGTAGAACAGGAAAGTTTCATGAGAATCACTCACATTTATTACTTCAAAACTGGATTGGACATGTTTTACTTGGGGCTCTCATTAAAAAGTTCTGGGAAACTTCAGTCGATGCAAAAGGCAGCAGCCCATAATGGTGACATATGAGAACCAATAGAGAGGTGCTACAGTATATTTTGGGCACTGTACTGCTTACCAATCCGTAATGCTGGTCATTATTTATGGCTTAGCTTCATGTTACTTACAGGTCCACATCCTACAAAGAAAATCTTCCTATCTCTCAACTCAAAGAATGCTTTGGGCTCCCTCTTCTTGACAGATCAACAGGGAATTAATCCTTTTTCAAGAGCTGCCCTATGGAATATGCTGTCCTCTGAAATCCATACAGACTTTCCAAAAAGCAATTAAAGTCCTGTGTCTTTAAAACAGCACTATAATCTACACCTTGAAATGTATCTAACCTTCATAACTGCCGTTGCCTTATTTTTTATATTATTGTTGCGATCTTAAGGTGTCTTAAGAAAAGGAAATTGGACAATACGGGTAAATTTAGTGACCACTCAAAGCTACAACAGCATTGAAAAAAAGTGACTTATGACAATTTTTGACAATTGTTGCAGCATCCCCATGGTCACACGATCAAAATTTAGGCACTTGGCAACTGACTCATATTTTTGACAGCTGCAGTCTCCCAGGGTTGTGCGATCAACTTTTTGCGACCTTCTGACAAGCAAAGTCAATGGGAAATCTGGATTCACTTAACAACCGTGTACTCATTTAACAACTGCAGTGATTTGCTTAACGACAGTGGCACGAAAAGTCGTAACATGGGATAAAGTTCACTTAGCAAATGTCTCACTTAGCAACGGAAATTTCGGGATCAACTGTAGTTATAAGTTAAGGATCATCTGTGTATACTAAAGAGACTGTTATTTTAAAAGTTATAAGTTTCCTAAACGCTACTAAACCTAGTAAGTCTTTAAGGCAGAGGTAGGCAACCTTGGCTCTTTTATGACTTGTGGACTTCAACTCCCAGAATTCCTGAGCCAGCCATGCTGAGGGGAAAGGGAGAGGTTTCCAAGCTGAGCCATGCTGGCTCAGGAATTCTGGGAGTTGAAGTCCATGAGTCATAAAAGAGCCAAGGTTGCCTATCCCTGCTTTAAGGGATTGTCCATTATCATGAATTTATGGTTTTAGCCTACAGCCCTGGTATTTTTCTGGTAGTTTTCCATCTAGATAATAACCAGGACAGACTGTGTTTAAGTTTTGAAATCAGCAATCTACTAACCTTGAAGGAAAAATACAGATGTACGATTTGTTGTCAGAAAGCACAATGTGTGTTGAAAAAGGCCCAAATTCAGTTTCTCGCCTCTCCAGAAATACCCAGAAAAAAAAACCAGCCTAAAATTTTGGAGAGTTCCTGCCGATTAGCACTGATAACACGGGTCAATACTTTGAGCCAATGGCCTGATCCGTTTCACTCTGCCAGAATTGTGGCAGATATTGTTGAATGTTCAGATTATGGGATGTAATCTGTGAACAATAAAAGGAGCTCTGGTCTGCTGCATTTAGTAACAATGATTGAATAAGGATAGCTAATGGAAATAATGTTGTCCTCTTCACGACGTTCCCCCTGTACCCACCCACCTCAGATGAAAATTACAGCTTGGCCATCTTTGTATTTCACAGGCTTGAACACTGGGCACTATCCAACAAAATGGAATTCAATGGTGAAAAAAGCAAGGTTCTACATTTAGGTAAGAAAAACCAAATGCACAGGTATAGTACAGGGAGTACCTTGCTCAATAGTAGTAACTGTGAGAGGGACCTCGGAGACCTAGTGAACAGTCACTTAAATATGAGCCAGCAGTGTGCTGCAGCTGCCAAAAAGGCCAACACAGTGCTAGGCTGCATTAACCGAGGGATAGAATCAAGATCACGTGAAGTGTTAATACCACTTTACAAGGCCTTGGTAAGGCCACACTTGGAATACTGCATCCAGTTTTGGTCATCACAATGTAAAATAGATGTTGAGACTCTAGAGTACAGAGAAGAGCAACAAAGATGATTAGGGGACTGGGGGCTAAAACATATAAGGAACAGTTGCTGGAATTGGGTATGTCTAGTTTAACGAAGAGAAGGACGAGGGGGGGACATGATAGCAGTGTTCCAATATCTCAGGGGCTGCCCCAAAGAAGAGGGAGTCAAGCTATTCTCCAAAGCACCTGAAGGCCGGACAAGAAGCAACGGATGGAAACTAATCAAGGAGAGAAGCAACCTAGAACTAAGGAGAAACTTCCTGACAGTTAGAACAATTAACCAGTGGAACAACCTGCCTCTAGGAGCGGTGAATGCTCCAACACTGAAAGTTTTTAAGAAGAGACTGGACAGCCATTTGTCTGAAATGGTATAGGGTTTCCTGCCTGAGCAGGGGATTGGACTAGATGACCTCCAAGGTCCCTTCCAACTTTATTATTATTATTATTATAGGTATACCAGCCTAAACAAAGCGGGAAGCTTCAAATATAGGTGTTTATTAATATGTGGTACTATGTGAAGAGTTTTAGATACTTATAAAGTATGTATCTTTTGTAAACATTAAAATGAGAATGATCTCATTATGCATTTGTCAGTGTTGCTGTTAGATGTAAGGATATCTGAGATACTTTACAGCTAAATGCATATATTAATTATGGGCTTGAAGCAAAAATAACCCATATATGTATGAAATATTAAACAGATCTGAAGAGTATAATCTGCTCTGCAAGAGAGCTTGAGTTTGACACGGTCTTGCGAACATCCAAGGGCAGAATGACTGATCACTCCTAGGTGGAAGCCAAAGATTTGTTTTCCTTTTTATAATCCCTTAACACCTATTACGTTTAGAACAGATGCACAGCATAAAATTTTTTATCCCTTTTATTTTTTTCCTCTTAATACATAGCCCTTTTCTCCAGGAAAGACTGCAAGTGGAGATTATTTTAATAAAATTGGCTGTTACAATCTCTATAACTCGCAAGCAAACTGACAGAGATGCTCCATGCCAGGGGTGTCCAACTCGCAATGTCACGTGGCGTGTTGCGACTTATCGCGACTTTTTTCCCATTGCCGGCAATGGGGTGGGTGCAGTTTCGGCATGATGCATCCGGCCCGTGGGCCGGCAGTTTGACACCCCTGCTATAGGCAGTACAGGTGATACTCATTTAGTGACTGCCACATTTAGTGACCATTTGCATTAGAATGGTGATGAAAAAGAAACCAATCCTTGCATTTATGACCTTTATGGGTCTACAAAGCAAAGGAAAGCTGAAATAAGATCGTAAGCATAGCTGTGGTTGCACTTACAACCACTTTCCTTAACTACTGAATTGCTGGTCCCAACTGTAGTTGCTAAATTAGGTCGATTTATAGCTTTGTTTAGTAGTAACATTTTCTTTCCAGTTGCAGTCCCCTGTCCAGTTGCCAACTTTTTACCACCTGACATTATTATTATTCAACCAGAATTTCTCATTTCCAGAATGAACGTAAGACAGGGGTGTGAGTACTTTCCTAAGTGTCTTTTCCTTAAAGAGAATTCATACACAAAGCACACTAAATGCCATCAGTGTAAATAAATGATCTTTTTGAGTGGAGAGTGAAATTACACACACCATTTTTCCTTTAAGAAGAAGAACAGTTATGTGGGGGCATGAGATCTTTATCCAGCCATTGACATAACTCTACAGAAGGAGTGAAAAGTAAGGATGGTGAGTGTTATTTCCCAGCAGTTATACTACAGCTCAAAATAACAATCAGCCTGCCAGTGTTTTGCAAGCTGCATAATTTAAAGCAGGGGTCCCCAACCTGTGGGCTGTGGCCCGGTAGTGTGTTGTGGACTACTGTCAACTGGGCCATGGGACAGGCTGGCCAGTACGTGCACGTGTGCGTGCACACACCCCACACTCATGCTAGTGCCACGGCTGTGGGGCACAAAAACAGGACACTGCGCCGCATGGTGCAAAAACAGGATGCCCCCGCATGATGGGGCACAAAAATGGGACGCTGCTGCACTGTGGGGTGCGAAAACAGGACACTGCACCACCGCGCTGCGTGAAAATGGGACAACGCTGCGCCTCAAGGCACGAAAATGGGATGCCACCACACTTCGGGGTGTGAAAACGGCCCAACGCCACGGAAAAAGAGCACTGTCCACAAGAATGGGGCAGGGCTAGCAAGTATCACGCAAGCGCTAGCCCCGCCCCATTTGCATCACACGCATGGTTGCGGCCACATGTGTGCGCGCATGTATGAGTGCGTATATCACTTCCCCCTCCCTTTCCCTCTGCCAACCAAGAAAGGTTAGGTGACCTCTGATTTAAAGGACAGTTTAAGAAAAGGCGATTTATGGCAACAAAGATATTTTCATTTTTTCCCCTTGATTATGCTAAGTCTTCCAAATACAAGCCAGGTATCAGAAATTGTACTAAAGCAAGCAAGCTTATGCTTCTCATTATCACATGGTTTAGTTTTTTATTTTATTTCCTTTATTTCCAATGATTTTTTTATTTTATAACATTTCAAAGTTCTGGGATTGACATATTACTAGTTTTGATCTAAACGATCTGAAATTAAGATTGCTGCCTATCAAATGCGTACGTTCCATATACAAGAGTCACAGAATGAAAAGGGAGTTATTGTAATCTAGCCAGAAGGCTCAATCTCAAGATATTGTAAAAACAAAGTTGCTTTTATAAGTCTGCAGTTGCTAATCGCTTGTCTAAAACACAAACTTCTTAAAAAAAAATAAGCAGTTACCTTAAAAAACAGCAAGTTGCATGGTATTGTTCATACCTTACGCTGGCAAGAGCACATTCAAAAACCTGTTAAATGAAGAAGTAACAACAAATGTGTTTATAATTAGCTATTTTGTGCTTCACAATAGTCCTCTTCACCATGGCATAATCAGGGGTAGGCAACCTTGGCTCTTTTATGACTCATAGACTTCAACTCCCAGAATTCCTGAGCCAGCCATGCTGAGGGGAAAGGGAGAGGTTTCCAAGCTGAGCCATGCTGGCTCAGGAATTCTGGGAGTTGAAGTCCACAAGTCATAAAAGAGCCAAGGTTGCCTACCCCTGGCATTGATTGTGGTTGCCATCTCCTTTTCCGCTTTGTCATGTTAGCTATGTGTGAATCCCACCATCCTTCTCTGTTAAGTACTATCCATATTCTGGTACAGATAGTCCTTGACTTACAAGAGTTCATTTAGTGACCGTTCAAAGTTACAACAGCATTGGAAAAAGTGGCTTATGACCATTTTTCACACTTACCACCATTGCAGCAGCCCCATGATCACATGATCAAAATTCAAACGCTTGGTAACTGATTCATATTTATGACAGTCACCGTGTCCTGGTTCATGTGATCTCCTTTTGTGACCTTCCATCAACTAATATTAATAATAATAATAATAAAGTTGGAAGAGACCTTGGAGGTCATCTAGTCCAACCCCCTGCTCAGGCAGGAAATCCTACACCAGTGATGGCGAAGCTTTTAGAGACCGAGTGCCCAAACTGCAACACAAAGCTCACTTATTTATCACCGGGTGCCAGGTGGGGATGGCCCACTGGGTGGGCGTGGCTGTGGTGGTCATGGCAGATTGGGTGGGAGTGGCCAAGGTGGGCGTGATCACCTCGATGTTGCTCGTGGGGAGGGACGCCTGTAGGGGCCAGGCAGGGTTGGGGGAGATCCAGGGGGTCTCTGCCAGGTGGGGCAGTGGGCAGGAAGCTCGTCCTGCGGGGTAAGGCGAGGCCAGGCCAGGCAGGGCGGGGGTGCCATTGTCACAGGGCAAGGTGTGGCAGGGGCAGGGGCGGCTGCTGCCTGACACCATCAACCTCTGCACACAGAGGCCAGCGAGCGCATGCGTGCTGGGATCCATCCGGCCATGTGGGACCTTGGCGAGTTAGCGGGCGGCTGGTTGAAGAGGGATGGTTACCATCTCCAGGGCATGGCCTGTGTCCCCACAGAGAAGGCTCTGAATGCCGCCTCTGGCACACGTGCCATAGGTCCGCCACCATTGTCCTATACCATTTCAGAGAAATGGCTGTCCAGTCTCTTCTTAAAAACTTCCAGTGTTGGAGCATTCACGGCTTCTGGAGGCAGGTTGTTCCACTGATTAATTGTTCTAACTGTCAGGAAGTTTCTCCTTAGTTCTGGGGAAGCCAGATTAACTTAACAACCATGTTACTAATTGAACAAATGCAGTGATTCACTTAACAACTGCAGCAAGAAAGGTCATCAAATGGGGCAAAAATCACTTAGCAACAGAAAATTTGGGCTCAGTTGTGGTCGTACGTTGAGGACTGCCTGTATGGTATTGTATTTGAATTTGAGCTAGTTAAATATCCCCCATGGGTAGATTAATCCTCAATGTCAGAGTTAAGACTGGTTTCAAATTTAAAGGTGGACATTAATGTTTAGGTGGATACATCTGAAAAGCAAGGGAAGGAGGGAAGAGAAGTCTTAGTCTAGACCAGGGGTAGGCAACCTTGGCTCTTTTATGACTCTTGGACTTCAAATCCCAGAATTCCTGAGCCAGCCACACTGAGGGGAAAGGAAGAGTTTCCAAGCTGAGCCATGCTGGCTCAGGAATTCTGGGAGTTGAAGTCCACGAGTCATAAAAGAGCCAAGGTTGCCTAGCCCTGGTCTAGAATTTAAAGGTGGTTGAATGTAGAGGATGGTCCTCTATCTGAAAAGCTGCTTAGTATGCCTGTTTCAAAGATGTAAAACATAAACAAAAATTGGGGTTTTAAACTTACCCATCAGAAATTAATCCCAAGACACCAGACTAAACAACATCACACTCATCATAATTATTGTAACCATTATTCTTAAAACTTCTCTCTATTCATTTCAGTCTTCAGGGAAATCTGTACCCCCTTTTTAGCCAATTTACTTCTGTTACTCTCCTCAATCTCTTAGTTACTAATAGTGAAAAGGTCAAGCAAACTGCCAAACTACAATTCACACTCTGAATTTGGAAACCACGGTGGAAAGGATATTTCCACCTCTATCAATTTCTGCCACAATGCCAGGTGATATAAAGCCTTGCCTTGAACAGGGAGAAACTTCTTCACTCTTTCAAGTGCACGTCACAACTTTTATCATGGACAAACATAAATATTTAAAGTTAATGTCTGATGCTGGCAGTATTACCAGCATGATGATTCATCCTCTTGTATCTTCATTTACTACATATTCAGCTACCAAAGCTAGAACGTATTAAAAATATATGAGAAATTCTAAACTATTTACACTTTCATTCTGTAGATATTTATTTCCACACAGGCAATGTTGCAAAGTGTGGTTTCTTTTTTCTTTCAGAAGTCTTTTTCACCTGCTCAATGTGGTTGTTTCCTCCTAGAATTAACCATTTAAAATATATTAAATTACACAATTTCCTCACATTCCAGGGCCTGAAACTGCTAACCCAACTGCTCCGTAACCACTATTACTACTGTTTTTGAAGCACCAATTTTATAGCACAAAAGCCTGTACAGTCTGTCACTCGTATATTTCTGAAAAAGTAATCTTATCAATAAAGAGAATATTTGTAGCTCACGGTTGAAATAAAGGCTCCTTGGTGCTCTCTGAGCTTGGTTGTTTTCTTGTAGATGTTTCCTTTCCCAAACTAGGTAACATCATCAGTGCTAGTAAGGAGAGGGGTATGCTCTCAGTTTATATTCAAGTGCACAGGTGTCAAACTCGGTCATGTCACGTGACATATTGTGACGTATCGTGATGTTTTTTGCCTTTGCGGAGCCGGGGTAGGCGTGGCCTGCACACGACGTATCCGGCCCGTGGGCCGCCAGTTTGACACCCCTGTTCTAGTGACTTGCACCCTCAGTATTGGTGGGGATGGTCTTAGAGTACTTTGATTGTGCTGTTTATTGTTAGTTTGTTTTGCAATTCCTTGTTTGGGGTATTGTTTACTTCTTCATTGTTGGTCTGATGTTAATCAGGTGTTAATCTGTGATCATCTGAGTGTTGATTGCTGGTGAGGAGGTGTTTTCGTCTTTTTGATCCCTTTTTGGCTTATTGATTGCCTCTTTTGTATCTTATGTAGATGTTGTTTATGTTTCGATTGATGGCCAATTTGTCAGAGTGCCAGACTTCCAGGAATTCTCTAGCATTTTTTTGGACTTGGTTTGGCTTGGACCTAAGATGGTCAGAGAATCAATGACATGATAATAGATGACATCACCTATGACAGTCCTTTTCATGTCCATCGACCCAGAATTAGCCAAAGAATCTATGACGATATTGCTCCACAGGACATCCAACTTAACCAAATGCACGAAGACGGAAACACCCAGGATCATGGATCTTATCAACCTCTGCCTTACCACATACTTTCAATTTGATGGACAAACTTATTAACAAATCAACATACAATTGTATGAAACTTCTGGCTATCTCCTGATTATTAGTCAGAAAAGCACATCAGCGAAAATTAATATGAAAGTCCTCTCAAAGTTTATCTCAGAGCTTCCATACTGTTTCTCCAGTGATTCTCACAAGAATCTGAAGCACCTGAAGGCAGGACAAGAAGCAACGGATGGAAACTCATCAAGGAGAGAAGCAACCTAGAACTAAGGAGAAATTTCCTGACGGTGAGAACAATTAACCAGTGGAATAACCTGCCTCCAGAAGTTGTGAATGCTCCATCCTTGGAAGTTTTTAAGAAGAGAATGAACAACCATTTGTCTGAAATGGTATAGGGTTTCCTGTCTGAGCAGGGGGTTGGAGTAGAAGACCTCCAAGGTCCCTTCCAACTCTATATTATTATTATTATTATTATTATTATTATTATTATTATTATTATTATTATTATTATTATTATTATTATTATTATTATTATTATTATTATTATTATTACTATTATTCCACAAATGCTGAGATTGAATGAAAAATATAATATTTGCGTTGTTTTCAGAGATTATTAAAGCATTAAAGCATAATGTTCTTTCATCGTTCCCATTTGGACTTCTGCACAAAATTCTCTAATGAGAATCATTACAGAAATATATGAACAATATGGCAAGCTAATGGATTATAAATGTACCCAGGTGCAAAATAGAAACCATCAACTTTCACTTCTAGTATATTAAAATGCATTTTGGATCCAGACCAGAATACAATTAAAGACTAAAAGAAGAAAATCCAATTCTTTGAATGAGCCTTTTCAATGTCTTATTACAACATAACACACATAAAATTATATTACAGTATTACACAGATCTATAATTTAGACCTTGGATAGTCAGAGGAATATGTTTTATTGCCATGTCAAGAAACCTTTAAAATATAGACAGCTCAATATAACTTCTGCAAAAGGGTTGTTTAATTAAATTGAATTTGCACATGTCAAATACTTCCCTAATGTGTCAACAATCTAAGCCACAATTACTGAATAAAAGCACATTAGCTATATAAAAGCTTTGTGGATTAGTGTGACAGAACACAGTATAAACATTTGTAAGCTGGTTATGCAATGAAATCAATTGTCAATTTCACTGTTACTTTAAAATCCGTTCTTCAAAAATAAATTAATGAAATGCTTCCTAAATTGTTCCATTTCAGATCTTTGCATTGGTAGGAATGACAGAAGGTTGATTTCCCCATCATATATGTTACCCTGTTAATATGACTATAAAACAAAATATTATAAAATCTACAAATATAGCTAATGAATTAGAAATATATTTTGATTACAGCAGGTGATGTTAAACTGAGAGGAAAAAACATGAAGTTAATTGCTGAAGATTAGAGTATTGACAGAACTGTAAAATACCACAAGGATCTTTTCTATCTTACAGCTAGATTCTTCTAGATACATTTGATATATTTTTTCTATGAAAATAACACTGTATATGAGAATAGTGACGTACCATTTTAATAAAGGAGGCCATCTGCATGCATGTAGAATGAATGAAGTTTAAGATATTGTAATACCTTGGCTCATATTTTCAAAAACAGATCTTACCTAAAGAATTATTTTAGCTATGCATGTTTTGGGGTAAGTGAGAGGTGGGGAAACAGCATCAGTCTACAGTGGCAAAAAGGCACAGCTCTTTTGCTAGTCAGAATCAGGAAAAATGTTATTATGGGATCTCTTGAAGCACCAGTTTGTGACATTTCTGCAGCTGATGCATTTTATCAGAAGTGGTACAATTTCTTCTAAGTTTATTTGAAGATAGATAGATGGATGGATGGATGGATTTTTAAATATTTGCTGCTACCCAAAATGATGACTTAAAATAGTTAGATTGAGCTTTGGTTAATATTGATATAATTTCTCCTATTACAATTTTTTTTTTGATAGCATAATACGTTAAATTAGGAGACATACTATATTCTGTCTTTTCTGTACTTGGTGTTTAAATTGTTAAAATTAAACATTTGGCAGATTCTCACTCCACTCAAAAATAGGTAATTGATGCTTATAAGGTGTTTCTCTCTAAAGATCACAAAAATCTCTTTCCAGCTTAAGTACAGACTACCCACCAGTGCTTCTTTTATTTACATTTACTGATGAATTCCATTCCCCCTTTCTTTCTTTCTATTCAGCTGTCCACTATCTCTCCTAGCACCCCTTCCAAACCCCAAATTCTCTTAAATTTCTGCCAGCCTTTCTTTTCAGGAAGTGTCAGTAAACCCTTTACTTGCATTCTACTAAATAACTATAAAAATTTGTGCTTTGGGTACAAAATAATCTTGAAGGATATGGTAGCTCATGAGAGTGGCGAAAGGATTATGATTTGCTCTGTTGCCTCGGCCATTTGCGTCATAAGAGCCGTGGTGGTGCAATGGTTAAAATACAGTATTGCAGTAATTGCAATTCAATTCTCACCGGCTCAAGGTTGATTCAGCCTTCCATCCTTCTAAAGTCGGTAAAATGAGGACCCAGAGTGTTGGGGGCAAGAGGCTGACTCTGTAAACCGCTAAGAGAGTACTGTAAAGTACTATGAAGCGGTATCTAAGTCTAAGTGCTACTGCTATTGCTATTTGTCTACTAAGGACAATATCTTAGAGCAGTGGTTCTCAACCTTTTTAATGCCGCGACCCCCAACCGGTCATAAGTCGAGGACTAAACCGGTCGTAAGTCGAGGACTAAACCGGTCGTACGTCAAGGACTACCCAACCGGTCATAAGTCGAGGACTTTCCCTGCCCGGGAGCACCGCACATGCGTGGTTCCGCCCCCTGCGCCGGCCGAGGTGTAGCTGGCAAGCGGCAGAGACGGAGCAGGCCGACCACCAGCTGGCCCAGCTCAAGGGAGGTAAGGCACCCGCCGGAAAAGGGGAAAAAAATGGCGGACAGCCTTGCTTGGCGACCCCCGTGAAATGGTCGATCGACCCCAAATGGGATCGCGACCCATAGGTTGAGAACTGCTGTTCTAGAGCTATTCATCCATCACTATGTTCAAATAACAGTAACGAGTAATGACTAGGTCAGGGGTCTTCAAACGTGGCCCTTTTATGACTCGTGGACTTCAACTCCCAGAATTCCTCAGCCAGGCATGCTGAGGGGAAAGGGAGCGGTTTCCAAGCTGAGCCATGCCTGGCTGAGGAATTCTGGGAGTTGAAGTCCACAAGTCATGAAAGGGCCACGTTTGAAGACCCCTGGACTAGGTCAGGGGTAGGCAACCTTGGCTCTTTTATGACTCATGGACTTCAACTCCCAGAATTCCTGAGCCAGCCATGCTGAGGGAAAAGGGAGAGGTTTCCAAGCTGAGCCATGCTGGCTCAGGAATTCTGGGAATTGAAGTCCACAAGTCATAAAAGGGCCACGTTTGAAGACCCACGGACTAGGTGATGCTCTGAAGGCAGTGTAAATCTTCATCATTCGTGAAGAAACAGCCTCAAATAGGAAACAATCTTGATGCACCAAATCCCTGGCACCAAATCTACTCATTCATTGTCTTCTGCTGCTGCTGCCTCTTTTTTTCAGGAAGAGAAAATAGATGGGCAAGTCTTCAAGAGGAACCAGCAACAATGCAGATGCTTTGTCTCATACATTACTTCTTTCACAGGACTGTGGTGAAAGCATAAATGAGGACGCTGTCTTAAATAATTAATTATTACAATTAATATCACGCGTTCTGCTTTTTTGCTCGGGGCGCTTATAGAGTTGGCTTCCCTCAGAAACAGAGTGAGTGAGAAATTAGTTGTTGCTTGCTCTGGACCAGCGGTTCTCAACCTATGGGTCGCGACCCAATTTGGGGTCGATCGACCATTTCACGGGGGTCGCCAAGCAAGGCTGTCCGCCATTTTTTCCCCCTTTTCCGGCGGGTGCCTTACCTCCCTTGAGCTGGGCCAGCTGGTGGTCGACCTGCTCCGTCTCTGCCGCTTGCCAGCTACGCCTCGGCCGGTGCAGGGGGAAGAACCACGCATGCGCGGCGCTCCCGGGCAGGGAAAGTCCTCGACTTATGACCGGTTGGGTAGTCCTCGACTTACGACGGGTTTAGTCCTCGACTTACGACCGGTTTAATCCTCAACTTACGACCGGTTGAGTCCTCAACTTACAACCGGTTGAGTCCTCGACTTACGACCGGTTGGGGGTCCCAGCATTAAAAAGGTTGAGAACCACTGCTCTGGACTATCTCCTGTAGTGGGATACATATTCTGGAAATTTCCAAGAGGCCTGCATGTGGGAAATCCATCTTATTTCTGAAAATGTTGGTGCATACAAGTAGTCCTCGAATTGCAACAGTTCATTTAGCGATCGTTCAAAGTTACAACGGCACTGAAAAAAGGGACGCAGGACCATTTTTCACAGTTGCGACCTTTGCCGCGTCCCCACGATCACGTGATCAAGATTCAGATGCTTGGCAGCTGGTTCATACTTATGTCCCAAAGTCACGTGATCCCCTTTTGCAACCTTCTGGCAAGCAAAGTCAACGGGGAAGCCAGATTCACTTAACAACTGGGTTACTAACATATCAACTGCAGTGATTCACTTAATAACTGTGGCAAGAAAGGTCATAAAATGGGGCAAAACGTACTTAACAGATGTCTCACTTAACAACAGAAATTTTGGGCTCAATTGTAGTCGTAAATTGAGGACTACCTGTATTTTTTTCCCTTGTATCGTATCAGTACTCTATATAGCCCTGTATTAATGACACAGGTGATCTGGTGATCTCCTCTTCCCTGTCGATCTGATGAACTTTTATGTTGTACCTAGTTCTAAAGGAAGAGATTGATCTACAGTTATCAGTTATTCCGCTCAACTGCTGAAAGTACAGCCGGTAGGTTGATACTTCCTACCATTTTAATGGTTATCCTCTGTGGTAAATATTTTTTAAAAAATTAAAATCCATGATGTTACAATCAGTATTATCACAAACAGAGCTAGATGGCTTACTCATCCTGATTCACCTTTTGAGTTTCCTTTCCATATAATCCATCATCCAGTTAAACTGTTGTATTAAAAGGGTCTGCAGAAATTTATGCTTTAGCTCATGCACTAGATCAGGGATCCCCAACCCCTTGTCCGTGGACCAATACCGGGCCGTGGCATGCCAGCAACGAGGCCGCACAAACAAGCAAAGCCCCATCTGCAGGATGCAGGCAGCACACAAAACCACACCGCCTCTGGTCCATGGAAAAACCTCTTTCCACGTAACCAGTCCCTGGTGCCCAAAAGGTTGGGGACCTTTCCACTAGATCTTATCATATTACAAAACAACTTTTTGCTGCTGCCGCAACAAACTAACATCTCGGAAACAGATTAAACAAAATCAATTTTTTGGGTAGTGATATTGTGTGCATCAATGTTACAGCTGGAATGGATCTCTCCAAGCAAATGTTGACACTGCCAAATTTAAAATATTTTGTATAGAAAAAAAAGTCTATATCCCATACCTTTGTGTCAATCACAAGAAGTTCGGTATCAGATTTACAAATAACTGAAGCAGGACGTCTCGTGTTGGTCAACAGACAGGTTTCCTTGAAATACAAGAGTAGTTTGAGTCTACCTTTCTATAAATGTACTAAGAAAAATGTACAAAAAGCATATTAGTCACTTATATCAAAATTATTCTATCATTCTGTATCCAATGTCTCCTCTTTGGAGAAGGTTGTTGAGATGATGAGGCCAACCAGCTGCACAGTCTATATCACGGGTCTTCAAACTTGGCCCTTTTATGACTTGTGGACTTCAACTCCCAGAATTCCTCAGGCAGGCATGCTGGTTGAGGAATTCTGGGAGTTGAAGTCCACAAATCATAAAAGGGCCAAGTTTGAAGACCCCTGGTCTATATAAATGAATTATTTAGATCCTTTTCAGTCTGGGTTCAGTCTGGGCCAGAGGCGGCATTGGTTAGTCTCCTGAATGATTGATGTTGGGACCTGAATGAGGAACGTGTCCTCTTGGACCTCTTGGCAACTTTTGAAACTGTTGGCCATGGTATCTTATTGGCCTGCCCAATTGGGTTGGGAATCAGAGGTTACATTTTGCCATGGTTCCTTTCTCAATGGGTGCTCTCTTTTTTTTTCATGAAAACTATTTACACTGCCATAGAAATTGGATTATTTACTGGAAACATTTAAAATCCCTAGTAATTAAATCGTTGTACATACTTTCTTAATACAAGTTTAATATTATTCTTGGCACATTTCTCTTTTGCGTTTTAGCTCTCTACACGATGGGTGTCAAGGTAGATCGCGTCACGTGACATACTGTGAAATATCGCAGCGTTTTTTGCCTTTGCAGAGCTGGGGTGGGTGTGGCCTGCGTGTGATGCATCTGGCTCACGGGTCACCAATTTGATGCCCCTGCTCTACGCTGTGAAGTGGCATCTGCACAAATTATTTTATTTTATAAAGAGGAAAGTAGTTACCCCTATGAAATCTTCTTCTTCCAGTTCATATAATGCTTCGGAGGCCAAAATCCCATTTTCAAATTTTTCATCAGTTATCATAAATTTCAGTTTGCCAGACAACAATAAGTAACATTCAGTGGCCATGTGTCCTTGTTTCATAATGACTGTTCCAGCTATATACCTGTAAAAACAATATTGTAGAAGTCATTTTCTAAAATATTTAGAATGTAATCAGCAACCGATGTTTAAGGGATATCCGTGTATGGAATAGATGACAAATCGTTAGGAATATGTCAATATTCATCATAATTTATATATAATATATATATATATATATACACTAGCTGTACCCAGCCACACGTTGCTGTGGCTCAGTCTGGTTAAATGGAAAAGAAAGAAAAGAGAAAGCGCACATTTGTAATATATCATGTTTTTACCTGTCACAGGTGTGACATCTATATAATAGTAGGTATATAAAAACACGCGCGTATTCGAATGCAACGTTATGTCAAAATTTCAAAGCAATCGGTGAAGAACTTTCGGAGATTTAAGATTTTGAACAAACAAACATTTACATTTTTATTTATATATATATAGTCTTAGATATTGATATTCCTGCTCATATTGCCAGGACAGGTGGCACGCAGAGCCCTCTCTGTGGGCATGTGCACCGCCGCCCCAGTCCTAGATCTTCAGCTGGGTTTTATAAAACTTTTTTGCTTTAGGCCTCCGCCGCCATGTGCAAAAAAAAAAAGATTCAATCAATCAATCAATTTCAACTTCTCGCGGGAAAAAAAAATCTCTCAAAGTTGGAATTGATTGATTGAACTTTTTAGTCCCACCCAGTCTGCCGTTACCACCGCAGCCATGCCCACCCAATGGGCCACGCCCACCCAATGGGCCACAACCGCCCAATGGACCACACCCACCCGGCACCCGACGATACATAAGTGGGTTTTGGGTTGCAGTTTGGGCACTCGGTCTCTAAAAGGTTCGCCATCACTGGCTTAGGTGTTTTGTACCAGTGAATCTTGTGGCTTAATGAGTGGTCTGAGTTTTGTGCTTTGACCAAAAATATCATGGAACAAAATCATCCAAGGTCATATAGTTATCTATCCACATCAAAAATATTCGGTACTTTTATACCTTCTTTCTATGATCATAGAACATAGAACAATCCTACAACGTGCTTTTAAATACTATTTAGTTTCATTGGGTTTACTCAGTGATAATTTAGTATCCTACCTTTACAAATATGTCCTGATGTCTGATACAAGCAGTGGGAAGAATAAAAATATCTTTCTTATCGCCGAAGAACTAATTACTTAATTCTACAGCTTCATGAATTTCAATATGTGATATGTTTAGAAGCAGACATTTTCAAGTCAGCCACTTGGAAAAGTTGATGTGGATAGATATAAGCTTGAATAATTTTGCTCCATGATATTTTTGGTTAAAGCACAAAGATCAGGCCACTCATTAGTTCCACTGGCAGAAAACACCTAAGCTGTCCTGGCAATATGAGCATGAATATCAATATCAATATTGCGATAATGAATATCAACAATGAGAAAATCTCATCCTGTAATGTAGCTGTTACAAGTACTCATGTCAAGTCAACCTGTAGCTATCTGCCCAAGTAAATTTTTTCTAAGCTTAGTGCACAGTTGTAATACAGGGGTGTCAAACTCAATTTCATTGAGGGCCGCATCGGCATTGTGGTTGCCCTCGGGGGGCCGTGTGTGTGTGGCCAGGATGGGTGTGGCCTACTGGATGGGCGTGGATGGAGTGGGTGTGGCCTACTGGGTGGGCATGGCCAGCTCTACATTGTTCGCATCAAGGGTGCCTGTGGGGGCCTGAGCAGGAGTGGGACAGATCTGGGGGTCTCTGGCAGAAGGGGGTGGAACCAGGGCAAGCGCCAAGGCATGATGCATTTCTTCATTCCTCACAAAGGGTGATACTTCCCCAGCATGCACCCAGGGGGCGGGGCCAACACAGCAGGGGCTGGTTCCTCGCTGTTTCTAGACGGCCTTGTGGAGCTAAGACTGAATGCGTTTCAGCATAGATGGCCACCACAAAATTGTATATTGGCTCCTGGTCGGCCGGCCTGGGCCAGGGCCAAGGCAGCGGGGGCCGTTCCCTCACTGTTTCCAGGATGGCTTCGCGGGCCACATGAAACCACTTCGCAGGCCGCATCCGGCCCCCGGGCCTCGTGTTTGACATGTCTGTTGTAATAGAGTGTTGCCAGCTCTATCTCTTTTGGAGAAACAATAGATGATTGATATCATTAAATTAGATTTAATGGTTTTAAAAGATCTTTATGCTTTTAGGCAGAAAATGAGAGCAAAGATCTGTACTTATAGTCAGGAAAAGACAATATGGAATTGCTCTTGCCTTGTTCCAAAATTCATTATTCATCACAAGCATAATCTCATGTTGCTTCTTCCATGCAAACTGGAGGGTTTTCTGCAGATGATTTACTAATTTGCATAAAGAACCTTTTTGTTTAGTCTCCTTGATTTTTAGAGGACATTAAGTACACTTATAAAAAGCCCTAAAGAATGCACAGATATGTTAAAACGCATCTCTTTTTAGCATCCCTCTGCAACGATTTTTCTTGTTTTTGATTGGATACAATGCAAGGGAAGCCTAGCAACATAATTGCTCTGGTAATTTATTTGAATTAAGGCATCATTACACTAATATTTAGAAGTTTTTCCTTTATTAAGTGGAAAATCATATTTTTTGCAATTTTAGAAATGGCATAATCTGACACAAAATATTCATGAACTTTATGCTTTGCCATGAAGGGCCATAGTGGCCCAGTGGTTAGAATGCAGTATTGCAGGCTAATTCTGCTGTCTGCCAACTGCCAGCCGTTTGGCAGTTCGATCCTGACCTGCTCAAGGTTGACTCAGCCTTCCATCCTTCCGAGGTCGGTAAAATGAGGACTCAGATTGTTGGGAGCAAGAGGCTGACTCTGTAAACTGCTTAGAAAGGGCTGTAAAGCTCTGTGAAGCGGTATATAAGCCTAAATGCTTATTGCTAATGTATTGCCATACATCTGAGTTCAGCAAGGTCACTTCCATCTGTTCTAATATATTTCAGCACAGCTTCTTTAAGGAAACGACAACACTGCCTCCAAATTACATTTTCTGCTTCTAATCTGAACAATTGTCCATTTCTAGCATTAATCAAGAGGATCCATCTTCGCAAAGAATATATTTCCTTACACGTATAAAATCACAGTCCTGCCACATTCCTAAAATAATTCTGAACCATTTTTTTAAAAAAAAAAATCCATTTAAAAAATAATAAAGGCCAATTTTTTAAAAGTGCTTGGATTCATTCATTTTTAAAGGGTATTTTGAAGCATCAGATGAGTGGGCCAACAGATACATCTGTGAATTATGCAAGCTGCAAACAAAAATAGGCATCGTAGCTAAATAATCTACTCTAATATTTGTCCTCATCTTGAAAATGTTCACTCTACTAAATGAAGATCTGTAGAAAACTTTATAGACAAGCTGTAAAGTGCCAGCTAGGAAAAATACAATACACACCTTTAATGAGCTTTATACATTATCTTTCAAAGTAACAGCCATCTATACTGTTGTATTTCTCTTAGTCACCAAAGGTCTAGAAGCTCTCCATTAGAAGGCGGCTGTTGAATCATGGAAGACCAAAGTAATATTGTGTAGCTTCCATCTGTCAATATTTTATTTTAATGGGGCAGGTCATTTCTAAAGAATGATAAATATTTAATTGGAAAAATTTCAGCTTTCTTGAAAAACATTCACCTTCTGACCTAGCTTTCTGAAGAGAGCTTATGGACTGGATCTCATTTGCTGTCCAATTTGTATCACCCAGGCTTCTTACTTACTTTTGGTAGATGAAAGCTTGGCAGAGCTTCTGTTGTGCATTGCTGGGGAAGCTGCGAAAAGCTCGGTTTGTCTTCAAGCACAATTGCATCTGTGGAGGGCAGGAGGAAAACATATTTTATAAGCAATACAGGTACTGAAGGCAAGGCACTATCGATGCATCACTATGCACATCTTCAACATCTTAATGTTCTAAATATTGTGGCCTCCTTCATTTTAGCTTTATGAGACCAGGGCTTTTTTTGTCATAGAACGCCCAGAACGGAGTTCCGGCACCTTTTTTGGATGGAACCTGTAGGGTAGGCAAGGCGGGTTGTATAACGTGTATGAGTTCCGGCACCTTTTTTTTTTTTTTTACAAAAAAAGCACTGTATGAGACTAAGTCATTCCGATTGTTAGGCTACATCTTTTCTTCCTTGGTGCATGGCAAATGGAGAGGTGTGTATTTTATTACAACTGAATGCAAAGAATTTTTATTTTCTAATTAAGAAACCCAGTGATAGGATCTCTAAGCTTTAAAATTCGCAGATGTAAGAATCTATTAACAATTTTCAAAACATACTAGGGGAGCAAAGCTTTTGTCCTAGCTTTGAAAGAAATTAAACAGCCTACTATGGTGACATTTCTAAGTATCACAGAATGATAATGATAACCCGGAGACAGCAGAATGGAAGAGAAGGAACTGGAGATGATAACAAAAACACAAAGGTCTGCAAAGAGAAATAGAACAATTGTGGCAAAAAAACCCTCTCCAAAGGTAGACCCAATAGTAATAGGCACCTTGGGTGTAATCTCCAAACAATTGGAGCATCACTTGAACAGCATTGGCACTGACAAAATCACCATCAGTCAACTGCAACTTTATTTGGAACAGCTTACATCCTGTGACGATACTTCTAACACCATAACCTATGTGGCTTGGCAGCCTGGCTGGGGTTGAAAGAGGAGAACTGGGCTGCACGAGTGGTAGGCTGGCGTGCGCACACATGCAGCCCTTGTGTGAGTGGCAAACCAGCGTGCACACAAGTGACGGATCCGCCAGACCACTTCTTGCGCAAATTGAGTTGCACGCACACGATCCAGGCCGCCACTCATGCAGCCCAATTCCGAATAGGCCACAGCCCGGTAGTGAGCCTCAGCCCAGGGATTGGGGACCTCTTCCATAAAACATCAACACCTTCCCAGGTCCTTGGGAAGGACTGGATAGGTGGATAAAAATGCCAAATCCAGTTTGAATATCTGACTGTGTGACGAACCATAATTAAACGTGTATGCCATCCAATTCTCAGTGACTCTAGGCCAGGGGTCCCCAACCCCCAGTCCATGGACCAATACCGGGCTGTAGCATGCCAGCAACCGGGCCGCATAAACAAGCAAAGCGTGATCCGTGAGATGCAGGCAGCACACAAAACCACGTACCCTCCGGTCTGTGGAAAAACCTCTCTCCACAGAACCGGTCTCTGGTACCCAAAAGGTTGGAGACTTCTGCTCTAGGCAGAAACTGTGAACTTAGTATTTACTCTCAGATCTCATCCAAAATCAGGAAAAGTATCAGTGCTTTCTGTTTCCTTGTCAGGGACGAACTTCCAGCCTCACTACTTTACCAATGTCTATTTTATGTCCTTTTAAAATGTCATCTCTTTTCTCAGACCGTCTAAAAGGAAGTCTGTTTTAATGGAGTAGCAAGCACTCTGTGACATATCCCAAATGACACATTCAATTCAAGGAACAATACTTAATAGAATTATTGTTATACGGGTAGGATAACAAGCTGACACATCACAACTGTGTTTTGTTCATAAAACTGGCTCTGCATTGCCTCAGTATAACTTGGGCTAGCTTTCTGAGGCAACTGTTCCTAACTTGTCGTTCACAAAGTCTGTCAGTGATGTAAAGAACTTTCTTTCTACAGAACAACAACATATGTGACATTTTGGCCTTTTCATACACACATCGTACTGCTGACAAATCGGATAAGATTTTGTCATTCTCACTTGAGATCATGCAAGATTTCAATCAAGTTTCAATTAAAGCATTTATTTTTATTTCGTTTTGTGGTCTATCTTGTATGCTAAAACTCTGTATGGCTGGTCCCTGGTTTACATGGTAATCCTCAAAACTTGTAAAAAGAAAAATCTAGCAATCTGCTAGAAAAAAAGGAATGGGAACTTCTTTTTAAGCGCGTAAAATAATCACAAAAGCTATATAATTTGTTTCTTGAAGGTTTTCATTTATGTTTTTAAGATAGCAATACCACTTGTGCAAAGAGATGATTTCTAAAATACAGTACTGAGGTTGAAAAATATTTTTTCTAAAAATTTAAATAAGCATCATGCCCCATAAATTGTAATTAATAATAAAAAAACACAAGAGAACTGGGATAATTTAAAGTTTCCAAAAAAGCAAAACTATCAGAAATCAGATATAATCTCCACAATCACGTACAATACAGATTTGTTTTGACTGGAACTCCCAGAATTCTTTATGTGTCTATTCTAATTCTAATTTTAATTTGACTGAAGCAGAGAATTACAGTTTTTGCAATTATGACACATCTATGATGCAGCAAGTTAGGGAAAGTTTATCACAATGCAACGAAAGCAATATTTTTAACAAATTAAAGCTGATCTCTTATTAAAAATCAACAAAACATTTTTCTTGCGTCCATAAAACGCACAGAATCTCATGAAATACGTGAGTAATGAGAAGAGATATGAAAAAAGACAACTATAGATCAGAAGCTTTCCTAGGAACTTCTAATTTAACAGTTACGGTTTTTATTGTAAAGGCACTCCCAATCAGAGAATCATGTTTTCTTTAAAATGATTTATGTGACAAATTACCAATGGAAAAATCCAAATAATTACATTAGCAAGGCCAAGTATTAGCTGATGGATAGTTTTACTTTGCTAATATTGTCAATGTTTCAAGAAATAATGATTTATAAGTCATATATTTATTGAGTCAAACAAATCTCTGGCAATAGGTTTTGATATAAACAGGCCATAGCTTGTTGGTTAATGCCCCAATATGTAAGGTTACATTTCATAATGTAATGTTAAAAGATAAAACGCTTGTCAATATTTATCAGCTTTACAGAAAAGCTTTTATATTGAAACACTTAAATAAAAAATCTATGAGATCTAAAAGCCTGTCTATTATACAGAGAGTTAACAAAATGTGTCTTTATATAGTAGTACATGAAAGTAATTACATAGCATATTAAAACTACAAAAGCTAGGTTTTGTTGGATAGTATCCCAAATACCACAGGATTTCCTAATTACACCTCCTTCCAAAATCAGAGACAGGGTTTTCTAAAGTCAAATATTCCCTCCCATTTCTCTGTCAAATGGAAAACTATAAGCATTTCCCTTGTCATACAGCAGAAGTCTTCAAACTTGGCCCTTTTATGACTTGTGAACTTCAACTCCCAGAATTCCTCAGCCAGGCACGCTGGCTGAGGAATTCTGGGAGTTGAAGTCCACAAGTCATAAAAGTGCCAAGTTTGAAGACCCCTGTCATACAGTATGTGCTCTGCAAGTTGCAGCCGACACAGCATATATATTTGTTGGATCTCTGCATAGAAACAGAGGTAAAAGACCTAAAAATCTCTCACATGCCTTACATAATACTGTACTATTATTTGTAAAAATTTGTAACAACAGACTCTCATTGTTAGAGAAGTCAGTTCAGAATTATCATTACAATGGTCTAAGTCTTTATATGCAGCTTATTGTTAAGAAATATTTCTTGGCTATAAAAAAACCCCTCCAGTCACATAAATCTCCTTTCCTCTTAGAGGGAAGGATAAATTTGCCACAACTAAAATATAAAAAAATATTAGCATAGATATCATTGGAAGTACATGGTGTTTCATTTAATAAATGAGTAATATGATTCAACATTTACATACAATAATAGCTACTACCTTTTGGGAGACTTGGGAAAAAGGGTGACAGAATGCATAGAAGAGATGTTAAAAATAAGTGAAATGGCTGAATACTTTTATAATCAAGAATTGTCTACACATTTTATCCATATTATTGTGTTCAAAATTATCAATCAAATAATTATTCATACTTATTTTTTAATCTCTTACCTGCAGAATGTCTTTTGGTGTTCTTTCATTTGGACATATACGTAAGAGATGAATAAGTCTTTCAAAATCTTTATTTTGCTACATAAAGAAAATGTAAACATTATCCAGGATATTTACAGTAATTAAACAGTTTCCCTAGTGACATGGGAGTATGAACGATACACAGGTATGCACTGCAGTCACAGCTAGTTTCATGTCTGTGTTTATCTTGATTTGACGATATTCAAGAAATAAATAATAGCGTAATATGCTGTAGGGTCATTGAATCACATGGCTGGAAGGATCTTTGGAGATCTTTTAGAATCTAGTCTAACCCCCTGCCCAAGCCAGGAGACCTTACTGAATCCCAAACAAATGGCTGTCCAATATTTTCTTGAAAACCTCCAGTGATGGAGCATCTACAATTCCAGGAGGTAAGCTGTTCCATTGATTAATTATTCTTACTCTCAGGAAATTCCATCTTATTGAATTTCCCTCTGACAAGTTTCCACCCATTGCTTCTTGCTCTGCCTTCAGTGCTATGGAAAATAAATCAACACTCTCTTCCTTGTGACAGCCCTTCAAGTACTGGAAGACCTACACACACACACACACAAACACACATATTGTGTGTGTGTATACATACCCACACACACTTACACAAACACACATATATACGGACATATTATATTTAAAATATTTAAATTTAAAAATATTTTAAATATTTTAAAATTTAAAATAATTTCAACAGGTTTATTTTTATTTTCAAAGTAAAACATATATCATTTAAATAGCCATAGAGTAAAATTTGACTCTGTAGTCCAGTGGAACTGATTTTCAAAGTAGATGAAAACCTTGTTAAAATAAAACAACAACAAAATGGTTTTGCATCTGTTTTAATAGATAAGAATCCCTAATAACAAGACTACCGAGGGCATTGATTGTCATAGAAAATCTAGTTTGCCATGACTATAAGCATATATGTTTATTGCTATTATGAATACTTATTCTATGTAGTTTATATCCTTTAAATGGGTTTCTCAAACCTTATTTTTGTATTTTTTTATGGCAGTGTTTATATGTATACATATTTTAATTAGTGTATGATATTGGGGTGTTAGCAAAGAATCAAAAAGATCACAATGGCCAATACATCTATCTATCTATCACATATCTGAATGGCCCATTTCCCTCACAAAGGCACTTTAGGCAGTGTTGTGCCGTTGTATATCAGCAGGTTTACAAGTGCTACACAACTATTTTTTCCTACGTATAAAATGAAAAATATAGGTGTATTGCTTTTGTTGACATTATAATTTTGATAATGTCAGCATTATTCTGAACAAATTCATATAAATTGAACATGCTGAATTTCATTTAATAACATATATTTTTTCTATTTCCACCTTTTCCATTTCTGCCTCTTTCAAGAGCCATTCCCAAGAGTCAGAAAATGTCTTGGAACTGTGTATTGTTACTTTATGGGGAGCTATACTTAGAATCTCTTTTACAGGAAAGTGCTCTCCACTATCTGGAAATAGGCCACAATTAGTTTATTAGAAGCACATCCAATTTCAAGCTTCACTCTGACCACCATGTTGCCAAAGAAAGATAGGGTGTGCTTAATGTTTCCCTCTAATGTACTTATCAACTTCTGGATTAGAATCAAAATAATCAAGAAATGTTGATCTATTAGATTGAAGAATGAGATATACATTTAATTATTCAGGAAAAGCAACACTTATTTATTTATTATTTATATTTCACAACCACCCATCTTCCTCAGACATATCAGGATATTATTTTTAAAATATTAAAAAAATATTAATACTGTTTTATCTCATCTCTTAATTGTGATTAATATAATCCTTTTTAACATGATTTGTGTAACTTTTCCAGAAACATGTTTCAAATGTTTATTTATTTATTAAATGTGCATCTGCCCATCTCAACCATGTGTCATGGCTCCGATAGACGAGACCAGTAGAAATAATAACTCTGAGGCAATTGCTTTCCTCAAAGAACAATTTTAATGGCTATATAATATCAGCACGAACAAAGGTGAAAGACTGAAAGTTCCCCACCCCAAAAGATTACAAAATAAAACTTAAACTCCCCATCCCTAAATGTGTCATAAATCACAATCCCCAATAAACACCTTTGGCGGGCTCTCTAACGGTAGCTCCAGCCCGCCAAACACTTAGGCGACTTGACCTTGGTTCCCACAAGACAGTTATTGTTATGACTAAACTAGAAGAATGCATCTCCCCGCTCCCATTGCTGTGGAAACCTAAAAACGAAGAAAGATGGCTGTAGCCAGAGTCGTTTGAAGGTTTAAGACAGGGGTAGGCAACCTTGGCTCTTTTATGACTCGTGGACTTCAACTCTCAGAATTCCTGAGTTGAAGTCCACGAGTCATAAAAGAGCCAAGGTTGCCTACCCCTGGTTTAAGAGCATGACTAGGGTCCTAACAATTATAAATAAAATAAAAACAGTAAGTTGAAACTATACATAACATAAAATAACAGCTGGGCAACAACACACAGCAGACATCCACAGGCTAGTACAGCTGAAAAATGGGCCAGAGGAATATTAGGAATATTAGGTATGTTCATCACCTTGAGGTATTTATAAAAAATAATGATGGGTAAAAAAAATAAAAAATATATAAAAGTATGAATGTTCCACATAAGAGGCTTTTGTTCTCTTGTCCAAACTGATGCACTATGCATTAAGGTGACAATTGGAATATATTTCAACCTTTCTAGAAAAATCATATTTATATATCTTCAGATAAGGAGATTGAATCCATATCCCACAGTCTATTAAAATGTCTATTTTATAGAAAATGATAAGTAAAACTTATAAACTCAATTATTACAAAGTTGAATTTCCATCATAATGAGAAAATCATTGCTTTCCTTTTAAGGGATCAATTTTTAAACGTTCCAGGGTGGTAGCTAAATTTTTGTCTGTAGCTTCGGCCCACTAGAATCAATTGCTGCTTTCCCTCACAACTTTGATCGTCTTTGCTTTTATGCAGGGTGGATTTGATTTAAATCAAGTCAAATTAAATTACGATTTAAATCACTAGTAAAAAGGCTTGATTTAAATCAACTCGATTTAAATCATAATTTTTAAAGAGCAACTGTCATCTCTTGTCCCACAGCAGCGGCTCCTCTGACCCGCTGTTGACTCACCAACAGTCCCATCAGTTTAATGGGATGGCTGGTGATGCGGCAGTGACACAACAAGGTGAGGGACGTGATGGGCAGCAGGTGAGTGGATGCCCGTTAACAGGCGCTAAATGACAGGTGCTCTTTAAATGTAAGGATTCATTCTTGCTGGTAGTTAGAATCTTTAATATTATTGTGAAGTGCATGCTATCTCAGCTTGCAGAGCTTGAATTCATTGAATGAGTTTACCCAAAATGTAAATATTGCAGAATATACAGCATGGGTGTCAAACTGCCGGCTTGCGGGCTGAATGTGTCATGGCGAAACCGTACCCAGCCCACCGCCGGCAATGGCAAAAAAGTCGCGATACGTCACGACACATCACGTGACATTGCGAGTTTGACACCCCTGATATACAGCCTCATGCTACATAATTAAGCTCCATTTCATGCTGAATAAACTAAATTATTAATGTATCTTAAATAGAAAACTATATTTACTCCAAAAGCATTTTATTAAAATAAATTTGATAAAAATAAAAAAAAATCCAATTTAAATTTAAAACATCTGATTTTTTTTAAAAAATCATTGATTATTATCCACCCTGCTTTTATGTAAATTATATGCGATTATTTAAAATTGTTGAATGGATTTTAATCTTTGTTGGACCAGAAATTAATAAATAATAAATGTAGAAATCATTAAAAATACTCACAACTTTTTCTTTAGAATAATCCCTGATACTGAACAAAAGATCACCTCTGATATTCATCTGTAGCTGAAATGTGGCCCATTGCACAAGTGGACTTTGGTCAATATATCTGTAGAAGAAGAAAGGGATCTTTAGACAGTGAACTTCAGAACATATAAAATATTTGTTATTTTTTTTAAAAAATACATCATCGTTGCAAAAGCATATCAGAACGTATTTTAATAATCCAATCTTCCAGAATCATTCAAGAATACTAGATGAACACAATCTATGTATACTTTAAAAAATAGGTTTCCTCTAAGTTCTGGTAACTTTGTGGACACATCCATGCATTTTTCTTGCCAACAATATGAAAGTGACTCAGCGTTGCCTTGTTCCTTAATATATATATATATTCAATTACCCTTGAACCCATTACAGATAGTCCTTGACCATAATTGAGCCTCAAATTTTTCTTGCTAAGTGAGACAGTTGTTAAGTGAGTTTTTTGGCCCCGTTTTGTGACCTTCCTGACCAAAGTTGTTAAGTGAGTCACTGCAGTGGTTAGTAACACGGTTGTTAAGTGTATCTGGTTTTCCCATTGACTTTGCTTGTCAGGTCACAAAAGGTGATCCAGAGACACTGCGGCCGTCATAAATAGGAGCCAGTTGCCAAGTGTCCGAATTCTGAGCACATGACCATGACGATGCTGCAACCGTTTTAAGTGTGGAAACAGTCATGTTATTTTTTTCAGTGCCGTTGTAACTTTGAACAGTCACTGAATGAAATGTTGTAAGTCAAGGACTACCTGTATTAAAATGAAGCTTTTAGTCCAGGTGTCTATGGCAGGGGTAAGCAACCTTGGCTCTTTTATGACGCGTGGACTTCAACTCCCAGAATTCCTGAGCCAGCCATGCTGAGGGGAAAGGGAAAGGTTTCCAAGCTGAGCCATGCTGGCTCAGGAATTCTGGGAGTTGAAGTCCACGAGTCATAAAGCGACCTAGGCCTAGACCAGGGGTAGGCAACCTTGGCTCTTTTATGACTCGTGGACTTCAACTCCCAGAATTCCTGAGCCAGCATGGCTCAGCTTGGAAACCTCTCCCTTTCCCCTCAGCATGGCTGGCTCAGGAATTCTGGGAGTTGAAGTCCACGAGTCATAAAAGTGCCAAGGTTACCTACCCCTGGTCTATGGTTAAAGAAAAGCAGTGGTGCCCTGAACTCCATGGCTTATGGTCTGCTGCTAAGTTCTGTGCAGGGTGCATTTCCTTCCCCACTTGGACATGCAGTGTATAGTGTCATACATACACAGGTACCTGCAGGGCCAGTTTGGTGTAACGGTGGAGCAAGAAATGGTTAAGGGTCAAAGCTAGAAAGCAAGAGGCTGTACAGGTAGTCTTCGACTTACGGCCACAACTGAGCCCAAAATTTATGTCGTTAAGTGAGACATTTGTTAAGTGAATTTGGCCCCATTTCACGACCTTTCTTGCCTCAGTTGTTAAGTGAATCACTGCAGTTGATAAGTAGGTAACCTGGTTGTTAAATGAATCTGGCTTCCCCATTGACTTTGCTTGTCAGAAGGTCGCAAGAGGGGATCACGTGACCTCGGGACACAGCGACGGTCATAAATATGGACCAGTTGCTGAGCATCTGGATTTTGATCACATGATCGTGAGGATGGTGCAAAACTTGCAAAGGTCCTAGGTCGCTTTTTTTCAGTGCCGTTGTAACTTTGAACAGTCACTAAATGAATTGTTGTAAATCGAGGACCACCTGTAATTTCTAGTCCCCCTTAGGCACAAAGCCAGCTGGGTGGGCCAGTCCTTCTCTCTCAACTCCACTCCTGTCTGGTTTAGTGGCAAATGGGGCGGCCAGACTCTTTCTGACCTTTTCCCACCAGTGATCACTACACCTCTCCTCCTACAAGAGGCATCCATGGGAACAAACCATCCTTTAGCTCCAGGTTGGCACCCAACCCTTTACAAGAGACCGGTTCTGTGGAGAGAGGTTTTTTTCCATGGACCGGTGAAGATGTGATTTTGCAAGCTGCCTGCATCCTGCAGATGGGACTTCGCTTGTTTGCGCAGCCCAGTTTCTGGCATGCAGCGGCCCGGACCAGGGGTTAGGAACTTCACTAGACTACCATGCCCTGTTCCTGTAACCATATGAAGAAGAGTTACAGGAACTGGGCATGGCTAGCCTAGTGAAGAGAAGGGCCAGGGTAGACATGATAGCAGCGTTCCAGTGTCACAGAGAGGAGAGGGGACAACCTGTTTTCCAAAGCACCTGGAAGCCAGAGATTCAACCTAGAAATAAGGAGACATTTTCTTGACAGTAAGAACAATCAACCAATGGACCAGCTTGTCTTCAGGAGTTGTGGGAGCCTCATCACTGGAGGCTTTCAAGAAGAGACTGGACTGCCATCTGTCAGAAATGGTGTAGGGCAGGGGTAGGCAACCTTGGCTCTTTCATGACTCGTGGACTTCAATTCCCAGAATTCCTGAGCCAGCATAGCTGGCTCAGGAATTCTGGGAATTGAAGTCCACGAGTAATAAAAGAACCAAGGTTGCCTACCCCTGGTGTAGGGTCTCCTGCTTGGGCAGGGGATTGGACTAGATGACCTAGTTCCTAGAAGGTACCTTTCAACTATTCTGTTCTGTTCTGTTCTGTTCCGTTCCGTTCCAGTCCATTCCAGTCCATTCTCTATTCCATTCCATTCCATTCCATTTCTATTCTATTCTATTCTATTCTATTCTATTCCATTTCTATTCTATTCTATTCTATTCTATTCCAATCCTATTCTATTCTATTCTATTCCATTCCATTCCATTCTATCCATTATTCTATTCTATTCTATTCTATTCTATTCTATTCCATTCCATTCCATTTCTATTCTATTCTATTCTATTCCATTTCTATTCTATTCTATTCTATTCTATTCTATTCTATTCCATTTCTATTCTATTCTATTCTATTCTATTCTATTCTATTCTATTCTATTCTATTCCATTTCTATTCTATTCTATTCTATTCTATTCTATTCCATTTCTATTCTATTCTATTCTATTCCATTTCTATTCTATTCTATTCTATTCTATTCCAATCCTATTCTATTCTATTCTATTCCATTCCATTCTATCCATTATTCTATTCCATTCCATTCCATTTCTATTCTATTCTATTCTATTCCATTCCATTCCATTCTATCCATTATTCTATTCTATTCCATTCCATTTCTATTCTATTCTATTCTATTCTATTCTATTCTATTCTATTCTATTCCATTTCTATTCTATTCTATTCTATTCTATTCTATTCCATTTCTATTCTATTCTATTCTATTCTATTTCTATTCTATTCTATTCCAATCCTATTCTATTCTATTCCATTCCATTCCATTCCATTCCATTCCATTCTATCCATTATTCTATTCTATTCCATTCCATTCCATTCCATTCCATTTCTATTCTATTCTATTCTATTCTATTCTATTCTATTCCATTTCTATTCTATTCTATTCTATTCTATTCTATTCCATTTCTATTCTATTCTATTCTATTCTATTTCTATTCTATTCTATTCTATTCCAATCCTATTCTATTCCATTCCATTCTATCCATTATTCTATTCCATTCCATTCCATTCCATTTCTATTCTATTCTATTCTATTCTATTCTATTCTATTCCAATCCAATCCAATCCTATTCCATTCCAGTCCAGTCCAGTCCATTCTAATTCTAATTCTAATTCTAATTCTAATTCTAATTCTAATTCTAATTCTAACTCTAACCCCTGCATTAAAGAAGCCGTAGCACTCTCTCCAGCTCCCGGGGGGCTCCCCTCCAGTTTTCCAGCGCCCCCCCCCCCGAGTTCATCCGCTGCGCCTTCAACGTTACCTTTTCCCGCGCAAAATCAGGCCGCAGAGATGCGCGACGGCGGTGGCCACTCGTCGGAACCGGCGCCGGCCCGGCGACGCCGCTTTAGCCTGGTCCTGCGAGAGGGAAGAGGCGGGAGAGGAGGCCGGGAATCCGGGCGACGGCGGGAGGAGAAGAAGCGGCCCGCCGGCGGGCTCCGAGGCGTCCATGCCCAATCTTGCGTTGTGGTTCGGAGCTGCCCCGGGCAGGTAGCTTCATGCCCGGATCGAAAAAGGGACGGCGAGGGAGCCTGCCTTCTTCTTTCTCTTCTCGGTGGGAAGCGCAAACAAGCGCTCAAAGACGGGCACTCAAGCGGGACTTGCCCGTTTACTCCCATGGAAACTTGGGAGGCTGGGTGGACGGTCGAGGCGGCGCTTCCCCTTCCTGTTAGACCGAGCTGGCTTTGACAATAATAATAGTAAAGTTGGAAGGGACCTTGAAGATCATCTAGTCCAACCCCCTGCTCAGGCAGGAAACCCTATACCATTTCGGACAAATGGCTGTCCAGTCTCTTCTTAAAAACTTCCAGTGTTGGAGCATTCACCGCTTCTGGAGGCAGGTTGTTCCCCTGGTTAATTGTTCTCACTGTCAGGAAGTTTCTCCTTAGTTCTAGATGGCTTCTCTCCTTGGTTAGTTTCCATCCGTTGCTTCTTGTCCTGCCTCCAGGCGCCTTGGAGAATAGCTTGACTCCCTCTTCTTTATGGCAGCCCCTGAGATATCGGAAGACTGCTATCATGTCCCCCCTCGTCCTTCTCTTCATTAAACTAGACATACCCAATTCCAGCAGCCTTTCCTTATATGCTTTGGCCTCCAGTCCCCTAATCATCTTTGTTGCTCCTCTCTGTACTCTTTCTAGAGTCTCAACATCTTTTTTACATCGCGGTGACCAAAACTGGATGCAGGATTCCAAGTGTGGCCTTACCAAGGCATTGTAAAGTGGTATTAATACTTCACGTGATCTTGATTCTATCCCTCTGTTAATGCAGCCTAGCACTGTGTTGGCCTTTTTGGCAGCTGCTACATCGGTTGGATTTCTGCTTGTCGGTGGTCCTGGCCCGGATAACGGGAGGGGGCAGACTGAGCTGGAGGTCGACATGGACTCTGTTCCCCATTTGATAATCAGAAATTGGCTGGAGATTGCAATTGGAAGTGACACCAGCACAGGGTTCTTCTCCTCCAGCTGTCAATCTTGGCTGGGAATGATCAGAAAAGCACTTGCACTGATGGTGTTACCTAGTTGGGGCAATGAAACGTCTGTAAGAAAACAACCAAACTCAAGAGAGCACCAAGGACCCCTCATTAATAGGGGGATTATTGAGCTGCATTAATAGAGGGACAGACTCAAGATCACGTGAAGTTCTAGTATTGCTTTACAACGCCTTGTGTGAGACCATACTGCATCCAGCTCTGGTCACCACAATACAAAAAAAGATGTTGAGAGTCTGGAAAGAGTCCACAGAAGAGCAAGAAAAATGATTAAGGGCCTGTAGGCTAAAACATATGAAGAATGGTTACAGAAATTGGGTATGTCTAGTTCAGGGGTAGGCAACCTTGGCTCTTTTATGACTCGTGGACTTCAACTCCCAGCTTGGCTGGCTCAGGAATTCTGGGAGTTGAAGTCCACGAGTCATAAAAGAGCCAAGGTTGCCTACCCCTGGTCTAATCTAATGTAAAGAAGGACTAGGGGAGACACGATGGCACTGTTCCAATATTTGAAGGGCTCCTTCAAATATTGGGGTCAAACTATTTTTCAAAGCACCAAAAGGCAAGATGAGAAACAATGGATGGAAACTAATCAAGCAACCCAAAAATAAGGAGAAGTTTTCTAACAGAGAGAGCAATCAACCAATGGAACAGCTTGCCTTCAGAAGTTGTGGGTGCTCCATCACTGGAGGCTTTCAAAAAGAGACTGGACAACCATTTATCTGAAATGGTATAGGGCAGGGGTAGGCAACTTTGGCTCTTTTATGACTCGTGGACTTCAACTCCCAGAATTCCTGAGCCAGCCATGCTGAGGGGAAAGGGAGAGGTTTCCAAGCTGAGCCATGCTGGCTCAGGAATTCTGGGAGTTGAAGTCCACGAGTCATAAAAGAGCCAAGGTTGCCTACCACTGGTATAGGGTGTGCTGCTGGAGCAGGAGGCTGGACTAGAAGACCTCCAGGGTCCCTTCCAACTCTATTTATTATTCTATGTTCATTTCAACCCTGAGCTATAAATATTCTTCTTTATTGGTGATAGAAAAGTTAAGATGGCAGCCTTGGGGTGCAGTTGAAGTTCCACTTCTGGGCCCCTGTTTTGGGTGTCTTAATGGAAAAGGAAATGCATTGTCTGTGTTGTTAGTGTGTAACACGCCTGAAAACCCAATGGAGCTTTGATTACACCATTGTGGCTGCCATCTTGACCTTGTTCTATACATATAACCGAACGTGCCCAAGAGAAAGAAAAGAGAAAAGGCTGTCTTGAGCCTAAGAAGAAAAGGTTGTCTTCTTGCAGAAGAATCTTAAAAGAGTAGTATATTGCGAAGGGGAGGGGCTGTCAAGTAGCCAGCCTACATTAAAATATATAATTTTTTCTCAAGTGTGCAGCTCGGAGATGGTTATACTGTACTGCTTTTCCTGCCCCTTTGCACTGGGTTAGATTATGTGAACATTATGTGATCATTGTGGTCTCTTGAACTATTTCATTCCATGAGCCACTGAAAACTGAGTGCAGATTTCTGCCATTTTGCGGGAAGACTATAGTTAAACCCTCAAATAGACATGTCAGAGTTACAGAATATGACTTTAAACTCTCACCCAAACCCATCCCTGTCTGCATGCACGATGTGGCCCATGCTGTGTTTTCATTGTCCTCCTCTCTCTGAACAAAGTTATTTTGCCCACAGTATTTGTTTTAATAAAGTTAGTTGGTATTTATTCTTATAGTGGAACATTATGTATAATTTACAAACCTCCTTTTAACCTTGAAATTTAATTGGTTTAAGAAAGCACCTATGTTGAGAGAGTGATAAAATAAGCATGCAGAGACAAAAACAAAAAAGCAGCTTCAGGTATTCTCTCTTAATACTATTCCTGGGGGTGAATTTCCAGTACTGTGCAGAAGAATCTTAATGGAGTTTTTCTGTTTCTACTTTGCCTAATAGTTGAGGGTTGACAATCAGCCCCACCCAACACATCTACCCATACTTAATAGACCTGTCAATTATAGGTAGTCCTTGACGTATGACCACAATTGAGCCCAAATTTCTGTTGCTAATCAGTTGTTACAGTAAGTGAACTTTGTCCCATCTTACGACTTTTCTTGCCACAGTTGTTAACTGAATCACTGCAGCTGTTAAGTTAGTAACCCAGTTGTTAAGCGAATCTGGTTTCCCCATTGACTTTGCTTGTCAGAAGGTTGCAAAAGATGATCCCATCACTCCAGGATACGGCAACTGTCATAAATGCGAGTCAGTTGTCAAGCATTTGAATTTTGATTGTGTGTGCATGGGAATGCTGCAATGATTGTGTAAAAAACAGTTATAAGTCACTCTAAACTGTTGTACATCAAGGACTATCTGTAATCCAATTCAAAACTAACCAAACAGCTTATGCATAGTTCTCGCCACAAAATTGTGATTGGTCAGTTTTACACTTTATAAGTATGTGTGAACAAGGGATTATGGATGCAATGATAGCCAGAGAATATTATTTTTAAGCCAAAAGGTCTTTAAAAATGATTAATCATCTCCTGCAGCAATATTTTAATAAGCTAATTAAACTGCATTTAATTTGACTACAGTGTTCTTATTCTGTAATAACTATTTGGAATTCCAAGCTTGGCGATAAGACTTTGTATTCTTACAAAGGAACAACGTCTACTGAACTCATTGAGCGTTATTCCCATACAGACATAGATAAGAGTGTGTGGTTATACTACCTTTGAATTTCTTGTACACCAAATGGAAAATGTAACAGAGCTACGTTTTGTATTTTAGCTGCCTTACATTTCAGAGGGCACAAAAAAATTCAAAGTTGATTTAAATATCAGTTGTAAAAAGAGGCTTTAATGGCATTGTGCTACTAATTGTCTTTGAAAGATGAAGTGAATATAAGAAAAAAAATCAGTTAATGAGCACCAAAATGAATGAATTATATTGATAATGGATATTTAATGATATTTAATGATTTATTAAATATTAACAAGGTATGAGGATTCTTTTTCCAATCTTTTTTTTCCAAGCAGTGGGCTACCTGAGTAGTTTACTAGTTTACTAGTCTAATACCTTTTGATCCTTTTTTTTCTTTTCACCCTCCTAAACAAGGGGGTGAACTGTTTTAAATAAAAACGATTTAGAAATAAATAAAATAGGAAAGCAATGAGGGCTACGTAGAATAAATAAAGACATCATATAGTCTTTGCAGAGGGATGTGTACTGTATTCTAGATAGTGTTGAAGGAGATGAATTATCATAATTGGAAAGTATTTATAATACTGACGTATTACTGTGATAAAAGTACTAGCAAAGAAATGGCTACTTTCCACAATACTCTAGCCTGGATGATAAGAGATTTTTCGTGGGTGCCTAAGAATGGAGACCTAGCAATAATATCAAAGCTTTTTTTTTGAGCCAATTGGAGGGTTTGGAGCCAGAATTGGCTGGCTTTCTTTTTCATTCTGAAATGATGCACGTACACTTGTGGGAAAAGTTAAGTGTTCAGGAACAGCGGCAGTTCTGCAGATGAGGGCGTGCGAGCAGATGTAACTTTTGCTCCCGTCTCCCGCCAGTAGTCTTAATCCTCTCAATCAATACGTTCAGGCAGCTATGGGATAATGGAAGCAAAATGAGTTAGTGCGAATGGGGGTTTTGCGTTACTTTGGTTAACAATGCTTCTGCCCCATGATAGCCAGGGGGCTGCTGAGTCCCATAGGAGCGGATATTTATTTTCATCAACAAACTATGGCAGAGCAGAGGAATTTTGGAGGTACCGGACATTGAATGGGGCTACTGCTACTGCTGCTTCTCTAGCCAGCAAGCTGGACAACTGGAATCTGGTGGCTTGATGGTTTTGGTCACAGAATTAACTCTCTGATCTCTGAAGCAACCCGCACCGGACAAGAAGCTAAAGGAGTGGAAACAGAACATCCCTCACGG